CTGAATATGTCCAATATCACCACATTTAAAGCACTTAGAATTACGAAATTTACATGAATTAAAAGAGTGGAACTTGCCACAGGACAGACATTGACCAAACTTGTGCCCATCTTCGTGAACTGCGCCGCAACTCCTCAATGAATTATCTGCATAACCTTGAGTGTGCACTGGGTTGGGATGACGTAATGTAGTCGAATCTTTTATATCCTTGTGAATCATTTTACGAAATCTACCTTTACCGCAATCAAAATTTGTATACTTAATATAGTCTAGCAGTAGATCCTTGAGAGTTGTATAAAAAAGCGAAATGGGCTTTTCCAGTAAAGCCAGAGTTTTTAATAAGCTATATGCTTCTTTTCCGATGAATGTGAGGAGATGTGCTACAATATTAACATCCTCATCATCTTCCTTGGTCATAACCCAAATTTCGAACCTTTCAAAGTAATACTCAAAAGCATGAAGATCTGAATGTATATCCAACAATTCCATCACAGGCTCCATCGCGACGCCAATGTGATGATTAGAAGTATTCGAATTATAGTATGAACTAAGAATCCCAGAAATAAAAATCGGATCAAGAAGTACTAGATAAGCACGGACGAATGCACTGTATTTGGAATTCTAAATCAAGCATTCAACAAGTACAAAGGAATCATTGGTTCATTCAAACACACCATTTTAAAATCTTTTAGTATTTATAAATGATAAAATTTTAAATGTACATGTGAACGTCTGAATAACTATTTGATAGACTTTTATCAAAACTTCACTTTCGTAGATCATTTCATAACAGAGCTACTCAAGTGAATATTTCTAGTGGTGAGTCAGCTATTTTCATTTTGAATACTTTACCTAATTAAGGCGGAACATCTGTTTTCTGGAAAATCATCCTTAGATGTAAACCATTTACTTTAAAGATCACATTACTTATCTAAGTTGAACTTGTACGTGATTAGTCTGTCAAACTGAATGAAATCCTAAGTTCCCCACCATATTATGTGAGTTCTATATTAATAAGGTTAATTTAGGTTTTCTTAGGTAACTACTATTAAATAATTTGTACTACCTTGAAAACATCTCTTCAATCACTTACCTTTTCTTCTCCCTGCTTTTGCCAAGCATAAATAAATTCAGCTAACAGAATTTCTATATTCTTAATTGTGGACTATTCAATCTAAATATTTTCACGACAGTGACTAGCATACAAGTTGATAATTTATGCGCTGGTACGGCCGAGAATGGGGACAGTCAGTTCTCCCTCTCGAAATGCTTTTGTAGTAAGCCCATTCCACTACTGTATTATTTATCTGTTCACTGTAATTTAGACACTTGATCCACTATGTAAATTTTTGTGTGATTCTGATTGAGCACATATCAGTTCTTTAATCTATTCTCCCATTGGTTGTAATACACACACAATCAATAATTTATCCATACTTGATTAATACTCAAATATATATATATATGGATTTTTAACACTCACCCTCACACACACACACACTTCCTTCACATATTTATTACGATGTACTCGCTGATATCCACTCTTTTCTTGTCTTTACGTACAGTCTAGTCATGACAACTAGAGAACAGTTTAAATATATTTGTGAATTTCTCTTTTATTAATTGTAAACACTAAAACTAATTATTTTAACAGACTTTAAAACAATAAACTATTAATTTCTCTACGATATTATCAGCCATTTAGTTTATTATTTTACACACTATTCTCTTTCTCTTACACCTATTCCCTTTCTTTTATCGACTCACTATTTCTTTTTTAAAATAGTTATATTCTTTAAAGAAAAAAAAGAACATTTTAAAGAACATAATCATCATTTAGAATAGTTTATGAATAATCATTTTAGTTCACATGTGAAATATTCTGAATAAACTTTTCTTTTTCTCTTGATGAATTTATTATCTTTAAAATTATTATTTAAAGAAGAGGTTACAAGAACACCACTTAGAAACAAGTAAAAACAACACACACACACACACAAAAAAAAACCACAGGAATAAGATATTTCTTCTTTTTCTACTTTAAAATCAACTGTCAATAATTCGCTCTTATTTAATCGAATACTGTTTGTTTTTTATACTTTGTTTTAATGAATAAAGAATGAAATGACAAAATAATAGTAATAACAATAATGTTAAATATTAGTATTATTATTATTATTGGTAAGCCTATATTATGCATTAGTCATTAGGGAAAAAGAAAGTAATATAAGTGTTTCATGATAAATATCTTCATAAACTAAAGACAAATTGGAAATTTCACCATTTGTCTAATAACTTAGTAGAAATTTATTTATTTTTACTTCATTTCATTTGTTTTTTTGCTTTTTTTTTGTCTTGAATGAAAAATTCTAGTCGAATTTATAAGTGAATTAAGAAAAATAGACTCACATTGTCTCGTACAATAGAATTAGAATAAAACCCTACACATTCATACAGATGCATATATGTATAAACATATGAAAATAATTAACATAATCTCAAGTATTTAAAATGGTTTCATTTCATTTTTTTAAGTACTGACTATATTATGTTCGTAACTTTCAGTAGAGTACTAATTATAATTAACATTGTAGACTGGTATTAGTTAGACAATTATTGGAAGCAGAAGGCTCTGGACAGATGTTTCGTTATAATATAGGACTCCTCAGCAGCGCGTGCCTGCGACCTTATTAGAGATTAAATCCAAGATATTCGGTGTCGCGGTAAACACTTAACTTCCAAACCACTGAGCGGATAACCGATGGGTTATAAGTTCAACTCCAGTCAACTCACGATATTGCGCAACAATCTTCCAATGTCATTTGTGGGTCCTAGGCTAGGACGAAACAGATATCCCGCATTTTCTGATTTCCATGGTTGTCTGAGATCAGTTCATGATGTTAACTATAAAATTCAAAAATCTGCGTAAAATACCAATTACTGGCAAAATCAAGTAAAAAATTAGAAACAACCTAAATTACTCTTACCTGAGAAAGATTTGAATAAAACCTACATCCTAAATAAAGATTAACTGGAAAAATACACACCACTGAGAAAAGTATAAGGTCTTCGAGTCTCAATTTCAAATAAGTAAGCGTGATCTCGTACAACGATGATAGCCAGCATCTTTGTAGGCATAAATTAAACTTAAGTTTTGGAAGAAAGAATAACTATATGACTGAATGACCTCGGATCATCTGGTTGACTCTTTATCAAGAGAAGTGAGATCTAACCCAGGCTAAATCTCAATTTTAAAGCTAATCTTAGGGTTTCTGGTGAGAATCCTCACGTATATCAAGTGTTTCACTTAGTTCAATTATCGTCCCTGAACAAAATACATAATATACTAATCACTCTGGCGCTAGATATACTTTCACAAACTGATTCACTAGGGTTTTTGTGAATACTTAGTCATAAATAAAATTCATTTTACTTGCTTCTTTTGTAAAATGAATAAGATTAACTGAGGACATCCACATCAATTTCACGTAACCAGGGTCCCGTGTATAATAATAATTTTGTAACAGTGGTATCTGTACCAGAGAAGCGAACAATACAGTATAATCCTATCAAAGTAAAGTCTTAGGAGTTAATGACTAATCGGATGGAGAAATTTCTATTTATTATCACAATACTTAGCCAGGCAAATAGATAACCCACTAATTGGATCTGCATTTCTGATGTACTATACTAATGTGTGTTTGAGATAACTTGCAACTAGATTTATGTAAAATTAATCTAGTTTGTAATTTTTATTTCGAAAAAACCACGGGTTGCGAACAGTTTATGAGAACTTATGGAAACGAAGTGGGATCATTTTATTTTGCCTAAGAACTTGATGACACTTTAAATTAGGAAAGTACTAAATGTATCATATTGAACGGACATCACATAGCTTTACATCTAATTTACAACTTGTTCTTAATAGTAGTTATCTTAGAGTTTTACTCGATACTTAGAAGTAGGGTTTATAACAAATACAAACTTCTAAAATCAACACTTGGTTTTACGAATTCACTTATTGCACCGAAGTGCCAACGCCATAATAGTGATCTCGCTTACTTGCTAACAGAAATAAATGAACACTCGATGAAATTCGCCAACAGCTACTAAAACAGCCAATAACATTTAACATGATGAATAAACAGGATGAGTTTAACGACTTATTAAATAAATGGCTATGTCGTTATAAAGTGTTGAGAATAAGACTTTTTGTACATGAAAATGTTGCCAAACTTTGATTTTGATAAGAGCTATTAAATTTCGAGTGTTTACTCTTACACTAAACGCACGTGAAATCCTCCTTGCCCAAACAGGCAGCTGTCCACTGCCTATAGATCACTAAATGCACAAAAGAACAATATTAATTACTGACTAGAAAACTAAGAAGTATACACTAATTTAATAATACTTAAGTACGTATCTTCCCGTAAAATGCAATTGCAATACAAATCAGGAACATGCAAGATACTTGAAATATGTATAGCTTCAATGATAATTTTGGATACTGGAAACCCGACAAAATTACAGTTGCCACGTAAATTTCAGCCAAAATGTGGTTTCTGGGTAGAACAGGAGGTAATATGTACGTTGATTCAGGATTATTTGTTGATAACCTTTACCAGCAAGAACAGCTTGGTATGTTTCGGAGCAAAAAACAGGGGTATTTACTTGTTTCATAACGGACATTTTTGTTAACTATTCTATGAATATCGTTAGTTTCACTCTACAACCGAAAAGACTTTTAAAACAAATAAATTGAGAATCCGTTTTCAGGTGCATTAAACAGATTTATCGTCGGATAAAGCACATATAGATCAGGATTACTATGTATTTTAAAGAATGAAATGAACATTCAGTTTACATGTTATATGATATCTCTTGGTGGACGAAATTTTACTGAACGTAAACCAAGAAACTAAATTCCACAAGTTTAACGAAAATAAAGCAAGTATTTACAATGACTAATAAGTCAAATACATAATAAGTGAATAATGAAACTATAAAAGACCATTGGTCATACGTGGCGTAAGCCACAATTTTAGCCGAAAAGCATCTCTTCCATTTAAATAATAACGAAGAAGCCTTTCATCTCTGTAGAATCCCAGCTGCTCATAAAGTGAAAGGGCTGCTTTGTTGTCAACTTCTGCTTCTAAAGAGATCTAAAACAATACAAGAAGTGAAGTATAAAAACATATGAAAGTTTATCGTACACACGAAGAATTTAGAAATCGGATGACAGGCTGTTGAGAACTGATGAGTAGTATTTACGATGAGGTTTATGACTTTTACCACAACAACAAATCAGTGCCAGTTCGATGTGTATTACCTCAATGCAGTGACCAGCCTTGCCTACTATGATGGCTCACTTGGTTAATACCGTGATGCTGATTCGGTATAAAGAATTGGGCTAACGTACATTTGTGTCAGGCTCCACGCTGATTATAACCAACTGATTTATATCACTGAAAAGGTTACGACAACGAGACAGGCTGGGGAGTTGTTAAAGGAAAATTAGAGACTTTCTTAGCATGAATGATTGAATGACATAGCGCGGGTGGATAAAGTGGAATGAAACAGCAGTGATGTCCCCTATTTTGTAAAGATAGCATGGAAAATAAACTGGAAGAAGTAAACGTTCCACTTGCCTATTTATGTAAAAGCACACACCGGTCTAAGCTGAATCAGTCAGTCAGTCAGCTACAACGTAGGACCAGGCACATATATGCATCGGTCCAAGTTGCCAAACCTCATTAACACAACAAGATGGACACCGGATTCATAAAAGTAGTTAATTCAGAGGTGGTAATATATAAAGGGAAGATTACGATAAGGATATGATGCAGGAAGAAAGAATGAAGTGATTTTAATCTTTTAGTTTAAGGGAAGTCAGTCGTCAGTCAGTCAGTCAGCTACAACGTAGGACCAGGCACATATGTGCATCGGTCCAGGTTGCCATACCTCATTAGCACAGCAAGATGAACACCAGATTCATAGGAGTGGTTAGGTCAAAGGTTGCAATAAGGATATAGTATAGGAAGAAAGAATTAGTTCGTAGAAAGAAAGATATGAAGCGATTTTAATCTCTTAGTTTAAGGGAAGACAGGGAGTGTATACACCGACGCCATTGTGATCGATTCTGAGCCATGTCACCAAGAGTCTCCAACCATTGGTTACGATAGTCACGCGGACCCCAACCAAGTAGTCTGCATCTACCAACATGGCTCAGACTAGAAGTTAGTGACTTCAGGCACTGATGCCACGTTTTGGTTTGGCCGCCCCTAACTTTCTTCCAACCAACCCCTACACCGGTTAGCATTGCACGTCGTGGTAATCGGTGTTCAGGCATACGTAATACGTGGCCCAACCATCTCAGTCGATGAAGATTCACAACCTCATCAACTGATTTACCATCATTCCCTAATACCCTGCGTCTAACCTCACTATTACTTACCCGGTGATCCCAGCAGATGCCAGCAATATTTCTAAGGCATCTGTGGTCAAATACTTGTAGCTTACGGGTGTCTTCCACTCTTAAGGGCCATGTTTTGCTGCCGTAAAGTAAAACAGAACGAACTGCCGCGCAGTATACTCGTCCTTTTAATGATAGACGGATATCTCGCCTTCGCCAAAGGTGACGTAAGTTGGCAAAAGCCAAACGAGCTTTTCGAATCCGTGCTGAGATTTCGTCAGACACCAACCCATTAGGGCTGATCAGACTTCCAAGATAAGTGAAGTTGTCGACGCGTTCGACTACTTCACTCCCTATCCTTAGTTCAGGTGTTGACCCAGACCAGTCCTGAAGCAACAACTTGCATTTAGAGGGAGAGAAGCGCATCCCAAACATTCTGGCATTGTTGCTTAGTGCTACCAGAAGACTCTGCATTTTGTCAGCGTCTTCACCAAACAGGACTATATCATCTGCGTATTCTAAGTCGATAAGTGGACCTCCTGGAAGGAGATCAATACCCGAGAATTCAGTCGACGAGAGTGTTATTTCCATCAATAGGTCTATGATGAAGTTAAACAAAAGTGGAGAAAGCGGACAGCCTCGACGGACACCACTTGAAGTTGCAAAAGTAGATGACAGTTCGCCATAAGCTCTGACTCGACTAGTAGTGTTCGAGTAAAGAGCCTTCACAAGGTTTATGTACTTCTGGGGTACGCCTTTCAATGACAGACACTGCCACAGAGTCTCGCGGTCTACCGAGTCAAATGCTGCTTTTAAGTCAAGAAAGACCACCATCGTCGGACGCCGATAGGTATGCCTGTGTTCTAGAACCTGACGAATGGTGAATATGTGGTCGATGCAGCCACGACCAGGTCTAAAGCCAGCTTGGTTCTCTCGTGTTTGTAGTTCACGAGTCTTAGTTAGGCGTCTGATAATTATCGAGGCCAGTATTTTAGATACTATGTTTGTTGAACTAATCCCTCTGTGGTTGTCACAGGATGATTTTGACCCTTTCTTATATATTGGGACGATAAGTGATTGCGACCAGTCAGATGGGATAAAGTCTAATTCCCAGATCTTAGCTAAAATATTAGTCAACCTAATCGCTAAAATTGGACCACCATCCTTAAAGACCTCTGGAGCCAATCCATCTGGACCAGCTGCCCTTCCTCGTTTCAGATTAACTATAGCCTTCTCAACTTCAGCAAGAGTTGGGGGACCTACTTCAATGTTCCATTCACACTGTCTGGGAATAGAGGGTAGTTGTACAGTAGCTGAAGGCCAGCTGAACTGTTCTCTAAAATGTTCCGCCCATCGTTCTAAACGCCTGGACTGGGAGCAGATGAGAGTATCATCTTTTTCCGAAATAATCTCACTTACACTTGACTTATTAATTCCAGTTTCTTTTATTAGTCTGTAAAGCTGTCTTGTGTTCCCTATAGTCGCCGCCTTTTCCATCTCTTTTGCTTTCGTTACCCACCACTGCTCACGGTCGTTCCTTAGACTTTTTCTTAACCTAGATCTGATTTGTTTTCGCTCTTCATCATGTTCAGAACCTGATGGGACGAGTTTGCGAGAATCCATCAGTGTGATAGACTTTGAAGAAATCCACTGGTTCCTTGCAACTCTGTGGTTTAAGTCACTAATAGATGTCACTGCTGTTTCCACAGCTGATTGTATGCTCTTCCAAGCAACATCTGGGTCAGCCTCGTCTTCACAACTACCTAAGTGTGACCTCAGTTGTTCCTGGAACCTACTTTTGGTTTTCTCGTTACTCAACTCAGTTCTAACGGGTCTTTTTAATGTGGCTTTTTTGCGTCCAGTGAGGCGCAAGCAGATGCGTGCCCGTATTAGGGCATGGTCGGAGTCCAAGCAGGTACTCCAGAATGAGCGACAATCTTCTACCGACCCTCTCCAACGATGACTGATGGCAATATGGTCTATTTGAGTCCATCGTTGGTTTGGTGTAGGGGGTCGCCATGTTAGACGATGTCTCTCCTTATGCTTAAAATTTGTGTTTGCTAAAAATAAACGATTGTCTGAGCATAGCTGCAGCAGACGATCACCATTATCTGTTCGCTGTGTCGGAATACTAAAATATCCACCTAAATGCCTTTCTGTTTGGTTTAAGCTACCTATCTGAGCATTAAAATCACCTGCTACGAGTACTATGTCTGAGCGTTTAGCTTTCTGAAGAAGTTCAGAAAGCTTTCTGTAAAATTCATCTTTCACTTCATCTGAGCTGCAGTCAGTGGGAGCGTAGGCAGAAACGACAAAAAGGCAACGACGTGTGTCCCTATCCTTCCGAGTTCTTACGTAGCCGTTCAGCCGAACGGCACATAAACGACTGTTGACGGGGATCCACTCTAGCAGTGTTTGTTCCGCCCTCATGCTTAGTGCTATGCCTACACCTGCCAGTCCACGAGAACTTGCCATCGGGTCACCAGATACACGGAGGGTGTATCTTGTTGGCTCTCCGTTTTGCCGAGGTGAGGTCAAGTGAATGACCACACTGGAATCCTGTATGCGTGTTTCGGAGACACAGCACACGTCAATGGTAAGAGACTCTAGGGTTTTAGCCAAGGAAGCCTGCTGACCGATTTGACATAGGGTTCGTACGTTGAAGGCTCCAATGTGTAGTTTGGAGCGAGGCTTCAGTAGACCTGGGACAGTGTTTTGCGCACTAGAATCGTTGGCTATGGTGACACTTGAGGTGGAAGCCGAGAGAGGAAATTTAAAGTTGAAAGTCGATGTAGGAGGAATAATAGGAATTGAAGAGGGAGGTTGATTATGAATACAGTGGTCTTGGGTGCTGTTAGAGGTATGAGGGCGGTTATCACTTCCCGGTTGCCCACACCGTGGAAGGGTTCTTCTGGAGGTACCTGAAAAGGAAATTGGATTAAAGGTGGTCTTAGTGACCTGAGAGCGTGACCGCAGTGCCCAAGGGACAACTGCTTGAGGCCGGTCGCGCACGGCCTTTTCGTGGAAGGTTTTCGATGTGTTAGCTCCGTTCTTCAAAGGGCCTTACCGCCGGAGACGGAAATCCGTGAGGTAAGGTGAGGTGTGCATTTTTAGGGTCGACCTTTTCTAACCCCACCCCTCCTTGTGGGAAGGCAGCATCGCTGTCATGCTGGTTGTCTGAAGGAAACACCTTACTGCTGTCACACCTCTGTACAGTCAGCAGTACGACTTCGCCTTCGGACCTTGGGTTTGTTGCTTTTAGTCTTACCGCTCTTCAACCGACCTGTCTGACATGGTAGGACCTTGAGGAACGATTGTTCCAGCCAGTATAGCTCGGTTGCTTCATCACGATAGGCAAGCCCGACCACCACGTCAAGGTAGCAACAACGGTCTAAGCTGAATAATCCTCTGGAAATCCAAATTCCTATTAGAGATTCCTTTCTAACAAAACTATATGCCTAAACGAGTACTAATATTGTAGAATCTAATACAACTTAACAATTAGGGAAGTTGTGTATCCAGCTTTGAATAATACATTCCGCAGAAAGGCTGAAAACGCTATTCAGCTGACTAAAGTGAAATTGAGATGAGGTTCCGATGGAGTTGGAGGTTGAATGCTTCGACCACTAGGATTACACTAAGTGAGTATTGCCTATTTTATAGTTACAGAAGGGAGGAAAACGCTGTTCGATTATTCTGAGAATTTATGATTATAATCAAATTTTAGTATTGATGAATATCTCGGGTAATGATGAATAACAAATAATAACATGACAGAAAAGAATCGGATGAATGTGAAAACAGTACAATGAAACTGTTGATACAAATGTAAAAAGAAAAATGTTGAAAATGTCATCTCACTTCATCACACCTATCTTGAATCATAAGTTCGATTGCAAGTTGAGCCAATCGTGATCCTACGTTAGATAAAAATTAATCAAAATAGAACGCGACAAACCAATGCCAATTCTACGGTGATTTTTTTCAACAGCAAGCATAGCTATATATCCTTCTCGAACAGTTTCTATAATACTTTCCATTTTACAAACAATAGTGCCCACACAAGTTCCGTCTTCACTAACAGCCTTCACAGTTCGCAAATTAACACAAATCCACAAGACAAACCAATAAACACAGTTTGGGCCAGTTGTATATAAAATATCGATAAGTATATATGGAATAAGGTTCGGAGAGATCGTTAGCAATGAGATGGATAATACTGTTTAGATCTGATTCGCCAATATACTGCCGAAAAGTGATTCCATTTTGCGTATCTGTGAATAGAGGTTCAATTGGCTGAACTGAAAAGTCTAGAAGCTCGACAAATTATATCCTACATTTCTTTTCACTATGACATTTTTCCGACAAAACGATTTTGTTAAGCTCGGTAGAAAGTTTAACATCGTCTGACATCTCCAGTTGCCTATATGCTGAGTTATAAAAAATATGAAACAAACAAATAACACGAAAAATGTATACTGGAGTCGAAGTCATACTTAAGATTTTCACAAATGATTTGGATTTATAACACTATTTCACTTAATAATAGTCAGTTATTTACTAAGAAGGTTGTAACAAAAATGTATTATTTTCTATCTAGAATGGTTTGAATGTATTACTTGTCTATGATTGGTAGGATAGTCAAATGTCAGACAACAATAAATTAGAAGCCTTGGACCTTTTTCTTCGGAACAAATCTTAATCCTCCTAAATCCGTTATTTGGAACGTAAATTGTCGAATTTACTCAGAAATTTATTATACTAGTAAACGATCTGTCAGAAATAATATATTTTCTTAGGAAACGAGTGACTATCGCCAGTTGAAGCTGATATATATATCCCTAATTAGATATAAGTGTTACAGTATCTAAACAACCGGCTTCGGTTTTGGCACCCGGGCAGTATCCCAGCCCTCGCACAAATCGAATGATTTACGTGGCACATATCTATTTGGTGCCTCCTTGTACCAATGTTTGTGTGTTTAAGTGAATAAATAACTAAAATAACTGAATTTACAAAGGACATGTTTATGCTGGCCAAGGAGGAAAAGGACAAAAGTGAAACTTATTAACCTACCAGCAAGAACACAATAGTGATTTTAAACCTGCGTCGTGGTGTGAAGCTAACAAAGACAACTAGGATTTACCGTGATCTAACAGAGGTAGACCATTGATATATTATGTGATTACATATCTAAAAACAATTTTCAATCACGTGTACCTGTAAAACTTACTAAAGATTTACTATTACTATGTACTGACAAAATTCAGTTCACTTTTGAAGGTGAATACTTTCGTCAGATTGATGGAGTTGCTATGGGTAGTCCGCTAGGACCATTACTAGCAGATGTGTTCATGGCACATGTTGAAAATCAGACTGACGAATTAATCGGAAACATGTCACTTTATAAGAGATATGTGGACGATATCTTAGTTGTTTGTGAGAAAAAAGAGGATATGCACGGTTTATTAAATAAACTCAACACCCTCCAAAACCATATTAGTCTCTCATGTGAAGAGGAGAAAAACGATCAGCTTCCCTTCCTAGATATACTCCTGAGTAGACGAGATGGTTCAGTAAAGCGATCTATTTTTAGAAAACCAACATGGACAGGTCAATATCTAAGTTATTATAGTTATTGCCGTGTGCAATACAAACGTGGTTTGATAAGGTGTCTTTTCAACAGACTCGACCGTATTTGTACCAATGACGCCATTGATGATGATGTTAAGTTGTTAAATAAAACGTTAATAGAAAATGGCTATCCTCTGAAATTCATAAATAGATGGAAAGTCCATGGTTCAGCGAGACCTACTATAGCCTCGGTAGAGAAAAAGCCTGTCTACATCACCTTACCATTCAGAGGTGATTCAAATAGCCTTTTACTGAAACAACGACTTAAATCAGTCATCAATAAAACCTATTGCGCAGCAAAGGTCATCATCAAAGAAAGAACAAGGTGCATGCTTCATTCAGAACCTAAAGTACATGGAAACGATTGCGTCACATCCCACTGTGTTTACCAATTTAAATGTGTGTGTGGTCACACATACATAGGGAGGAGTAATCGTGATCTCAACATTAGGGTGAGTGAACATGTACCCAAATGGCTTCAGAAACAAATACAATCAAGTGACCCGATAAGAGCAGAGGATAAACATCCATCATCCTCTATTGCTAAACATATAATTGAAACAGGTCACAAGATTGATCTAAATTCAGCTTTTGTAGTGCTGTATAAAAGTGTAAAAGGGCGTATACTAAGGTTCATTGAAGCCTTAGCCATACGAAAATTCAAACCCCCTTTATGTGTTCAAAAACAGTTTGTTCTTACCTTAAACCTACCCTGGTAATATTGACTTATTATCCAGAGTGATTAGGTTTCAAATTGTGTTCACATTATTATTATTATTACTCTTATCATTATCCTTATCTCCTCTTACCCCGTTTCCTGTCTAGTTGACCTTTTATTTTTATATATAAATGCTCTTAACAAGTATATGTGTGACCAGATTGTTCGAAATGTATTGCGCTAATATATCACATAGTTCTGATAATCTTCGTCTTCTAATATCATTATCGAAAGAGGTAGACACATTCGAGAGCGTAAAATGTGGTTGGATAGCTAGACCCCGTACAAAAGGCCGTAATACGTTTGAGGACATTAAAAATACCCGACCGAAGCTGCTACCTTGACGCGGTGGTCGGGCTTGCCTATCGTGATGACCCAACCGAGCTGTATTGGCTGGAACATATGTTCCTGTAGGTTCTACCATGCCAGGCAGGTCGATTGGAGAACGGTAAGACTAAAAGCAGCAACCCAAGGTTTGAGGGCGAAGTCGTACTGCTGATTGTAGAGGGATATGACAGCAGTAAGGTGTTTCCCTCGGACAACCAGCATAACAGCGATGCTGCCTTCTCACAAGGAAGGAAGAGGTTAGAAAAGGTCGACACTAAAAATGTCACATTTCACCTCACGGATTTCTGTCTCCGACGGTAAGGCCCTTTGAAGAACGGAGCTAACACATCAAAAACCTTCCACAAAAAGGCCGTGCGCGACCGGCCTCAAGCAGTTGTCCCTTGGGCTCTGCGGTCACACTCCCAGGTCATCAAGACCAACACTAATCCAATTTCCTTTTCAGGTTCCTCAAGAAATACCCTTCCACGGTGTGGGCAGCCGGGAAGTGACATCACCCCTCATACCCGTAACAGCACACGAGACCAAGTTGTTCACATTCAAATCCTTCCTACACCTCTTCATACCTCTCTTATCTCCATGACAAACCCTCCTCACGTCTCTTTATCACCTCGCACCGCTAGGGCAAACGATTCGAGTACGCGTAACTCTATTCCTAGTCTCCTGAAACCACGCTCTAAACTTCATGTTGGAGCTTTTAACGTCCGAACACTGTGCCAAATAGGACAGCAGGCTTCCTTAGCTAAAACTTTAGAATCTCGTGCCATCGATGTGTGCTGCGTCTCCGAAACGCGCATACAGGATCCAAGTAACGTCATTCATTTGACCTCACCATGCCAAAATAAAGAACCGACTCGATTTACTCTTCGTGTATCTGGAAGCCCTGATTCTGCTTCCCGTGGCCTCGCCGGCGTAGGTATAGCATTGAGTCCCAGGGCAGAACTAGCTCTCGTAGACTGGATCCCAGTAGACAGCCGTTTGTGCGCTGTCCGACTAAACGGAACAGTAAGAATCCGGAAAGATAGGGACACTCGTCGTTGCCTCTTCGTTGTCTCTGCCTATTCTCCCACTGACTGCAGCTCAGATGATGTAAAAGATGAGTTTTACAGAAAGCTTTCGGACCTTCTCCGAAAAGCTAGGCGCTCTGATGCAGTAATAGTGACCGGTGACTTTAATGCTCAAGTAGGTAAACTAAGCGATAGGGAAAGAAACCTAGGTGGATCTTATAGCATCGTGGCTCAAAGAACAGATAATGGCGACCGTCTGTTGCAGCTATGCTCAGATAACCGCCTGTTCCTTGCAAATACTAACTTTAAGCATAAGGAAAAACATCTTTTAACATGGCGACCCCCTAATTCGTCCCAACGTTGGACCCAAATAGATCACATCGCTATCAGCCACCGATGGAGAGGCTCGATAGAAGACTGCCGCTCATTCTGGAGCACATGCTTAGATTCACATCATGCTCTGGTACGAGCGCGTATTTGCCTGCGTCTTACTGGACGTAAGAAAGACGCTGCAAGGAAACCTCTTAGGGGCCTACTTAATGATAGTCAAGCTAAGAGTATATTTTAGGAACAACTAGGAGAAAAGTTAGGCAGCCATGTATGTGATGCCCACCCCGAGGCAGCATGGAATAATATCCGAAAAGCTGTGGAAACAGCAGTGATATCTGCTAGTAAGGTAAACCACAAGGTTAAGGAGAAACACTGGATCTCAGCAGCATCTATCGCACTGATAGATGCTCGGAAACTCATTCCACCTGGCTCTGAACATAACGAAGAGCGGAGTCTGCTTAAGCACAGGCTGACAAGAAGTCTAAGCAATGATCGTGAACAGTGGTGGGTAGCGAAAGCAAGAGAGATGGAAAAGGCAGCGGCAATAGGTAATAGCAGACAATTGTTCAGACTTGTTAAGGAAACCGGTATTAGGAAACTGACTGTTAGCGAAACACTCTCAGAGAAAGATGGATATATTATACATTCTCAATCCAGGAGATTGGATCGATGGGCAGAGCACTTTAGGGATCAGTTCAACTGGCCTACAGTCACACTTCGGTTTTTCACGATTTCCAGTCAACCTGAATGGCAAGTTAATGTAGGTCCTCCGTCTCTTTACGAAGTTGAAAATCTGAAGCGAGGGAGAGCAGCAGGCCCTGACAGGTTTACTCCTGAGATTCTTAAGGATGGTGGTCCAGTATTAGCAATGAGATTAACTGAGGTCTTAGGTAGAATTTGGGAACTGGACGTAATCCCATCTGACTGGTCTCAATCACTGATTGTGCCAGTCTATAAGAAAGGAAAAAAGTCCTCTTGTGACAATCACAGAGGAATCAGTTTGACCAATATAGTGTCTAAAATATTAACTTCAATAATACTTCGACGCCTAATTAAAGCTCGTGAAGAGCAGACTAGAGAAAATCAGGCTGGTTTTCGACCTGGACGTGGTTGTATAGACCAGATATTCGCACTACGCCAGGTTCTAGAACACAGACACACATTCAGACACCCCACAATCGTAATATTACTCGACCTTAAGGCAGCATTCGACTCTGTTGATCGTGAGGTTCTATGGCAGTTTGTCACTGAAAGGAGTACCAAAGAAGTACGTTAACCTTATAAAGGCTCTCTACTCGAACACAACTGGCCGAGTGAGAGCTTATGGCGAAATGTCATCAGAATTGATTACCTCAAGTGGTGTTCATCAGGGCTGTCCACTCTCTCCATTCTTGTT